AATGGCAAGAACAATGACAACAAAAATGATGCAAATATGTGCTTTAGTTAAGTCTCTTATGATGAAATTAGAGTTGTAGCTAATGGCTTTGTTCTATGATAGCTCTGTTACTGAAACTTCTGCCCTGGCTGTATTATAGTCCCTAATTTGGAGATTTCAACCTTTTGTTTCCGAAAGAACTAGATTTCCTTCAGGGGACTTTGGAATTCTAGGAATGTATGTATGTTTAAGGTGAGTTTAGTGCTTTTCATAATGCAAAGCTAAGTTGATGTGTCACTCAGATTTGTAATGTCAACAAGTCACATTTTAATTACATCCTGTTTGGAAGTTTCCAAAACAAGGATAAAAAGCAATTATTTTAGTACTTAAAAGTCTGTCATCATTTTTTTAAAAATGGCTTAAGCTCCTTGAAGCCAGTGACTAAATATATATATATATATCCTTAATATATCTCCCTCAATTCAACATTGAGTGGGGTAGGCTCTTAATAAAGGTGTTTATTGGATTGTATTAAATTGTGTTCAGCCTTGACTTACATAGCATGAAGAATAGTCACAACTGGGGGGCACAGTGAATAGAGTGCTAACCCTGGCCTTAGACACTTACTAGCTATGAGACCCTGGACAAATCACTGTCTGCCTCAGTTGCCTCTGTAAAATGAGCTGGAGAAGGAAATGGCAAACCACTCTAGTTTTTTGCCAAGAAAACCCCAAATGAGGTCATGGAGAGTTGGACATGACTGAAACTACTCAACAATAGTGAGTAGTAGTGGTAAATGAAGAAGAAAAAGAACTCCAGGCTTAGAGTAAATCAGGACCTAATCCTGGTCCTGATATTATCTTGTCATATGTTCTCACTGAGTCTCGTCTGCAAAATGGGCATAATAACATTTTCACTACCTTCCTGGCAGGACTATTTTTAAGGAAAGTTCTTTGTAAGCCTTAGAGTATTCATGCTCCCCACCCCTGGCACTTGTTTGGTATTTGCTTTTCTGTTAACATGTTGTTTTCTCCCAGTAATATAAGCTTCTTAAGGGTGAGGACAGTTTAGTTTCTGTCTTTGTGTTCCCAGAATCCAGTGCAGTGGTGGTGTTTAATAAGCATTTGATTAATTGAATTGAAGGTGATAAATAAATGCGAGTTGTTATTTTGTTATTACATATTTTAAAGTTTATAATTCTATTAAGTTTATTTATTTAAGGAAGAATAGATTATTGAATTTGACTTAAAACATACATTATTTTGGATGTTTTCCTCATACATATATCAAATTATAACTGCTTGACTTAAAATAGCTAATTATTCACTCTTTGGCCCTTGACACATATGCTTTAGACAGTAAGGCTCTAGCTCATGTCTTCACTTCCCTTTCACTGGATTTTAAATGTGCAGCATTTTCTTAAACTGCAAAGTCCTTTGATAACAGAGAACATTGTTTTTCATCTTTGTGTTTTTACTTATTAATCCAATGTCTTATACATAATAGTTCCTTAATAAATCTTCATTAAATTGAATTACTAACTCTTTGGAAATGGTCAAATTTCTACAAGTTTTATATTGTGACTACAGCATTTTACCTTTCTTAGCAAAATTATATGAAATAATAAAAAGATGATAAACAAATGTTTATATGTGTATATACATATGTATGGAGATTTTATATATATATGTCTATATATGTCTATATATATATGTATATATAGACATATATATATGTATACTGAGAGAAAGAGAGAGGAGAGAAAGGGAGAGAGATAGAAAGAGAGACAGAGAGACAGAGAGAGAGAGAACCCATCTGGAAATAGACCAAGGAAACCATTAGGAATACTATGACCACTTTTGGAGAACTAAGGTGTGTGGTGATTTTGGGAAAAGTATCTTATCTTTTTCTAAGCAAGTTGGAAGTACAACAAGGCTAGGTTGAGAGCCTATGACACCTAAACAATATAGCAGGACATACATACATGCACACATTTATATACAAATTCTAAAGGAAAAGGGTAGCAACCTACTACCCATTTTTTCAGGAAGATACCATAGTATCAACATTGGGTAGAGTGAGCCTATACCTAAAGAGGTAGGGGTGATAATATGCTGTGGGAGGCTGTATGATACAGTAGAAAGAAAGCTAGATCTTGAGTCAGATGATCTAGGTTAAAATCCCAGCTCAGCTGCCCATACCTGTATGACCTTGGACAAGTGATTTAACTTAGTTGGGCCTCAGTTCTTTCATCTGCAAAATTAGGAGGTTGAACTAGATGGCATCTAGGATCTCTTCTGCCTCCATTTCTATATTCCTGTGATCCAGTGGATACATGAGTCCACATAACCATTCTCATCTTTTTTCAAGGTGGAAGAGTAACATTACTTTTAGCTTGGAATTCTTTGTTGACATTCTCTTTCCTTGTTGGCAAAAGCTTCACCAATAGGTATCTTGTGGAATAGGTATCTTGTGGCCTAGTGGGCCAAAGTATATGAGATCTGGAAGGAACTTCAAAGTCCAGCAAGTCCAATCCATAACTGAGTAAGAATGTCTCTAGAAGCATCCTAAACATTGAAATCCTTTCTCTACTTGAAGACCTCCATGATAGGTCTGCCTCCTAAGGTTCTCTTCGCTTCCAGACAGTTCTAATTGTCATTATTTCGTCCTATAGAGCTGAAATATGGCTCCCTTTGACTTTCACTGGTTGTTCCTTGTTCTGACCTTGGGTACCAAGCAGGACATATCCAATCCCTCATCCACACGGAAATATGTTTAAATGCATGAAGACATTTTTATTTTTCTCCGTCTTTCTAATCTGATAGGTATGAAGTAAACCTCACGGTTGTTTTGATTTTCATTTCTCTTCTTGATGATTTGGAGCATTTTTTTCCAATGGCTGTTGATAGCTTCTATCTCTTCCCATGAAAACTGCCTGTTCATATCTTGAACCATTTATCTTTCGGGAAATGGCTCTTATTCTTATATGTTTGTATAAACCCCCTCTATATCTTTGAAATCAGACCTTTATCAGAGATTTGCTGCGAGGATTTTTTTTCCCACCAACTGTCTCCCTTTTAATTCTAATACCATTGCTTTTGTTGAAGGCACTAAAGGTCTTGAACAGAGGAATGATATGATTAGACTTGAGTTTTAAGAACTTAGCAGCTGTGTGGCAGATGGGTTGGAGACACAGAGACACTGGATACAGAAACCTATAAGAGGCTCTTTTAATAGTGCATTTGAGAGGTGATGAGGGCCTATGATCTCATTTATATAGGTGATTAAAATTATTGAATTGAAGTATACATATTTATTTAGCATTTGGGTTGCTTAGATTTAAAAAAGTTGGAAGAGATCTGAGAGGTCTTCTAATCTAATCACATCATTTTGTAGGTGAGGCCCAGAAAGGTCAAGTGACTTCTCAGGATCATGATGCTGATAAACAGCAGAGCTGGAAATTGACTAGTAGTCCTCTGATTCCAAATCCAGCATTCTTTGCACTAAACCATACAACTTCAATATTACTATTTTCCAAATTTTATGCTAAAGAGCTCTTCTACTTTATTAGGATTTGTCAATGTTATTTTTTGCTTTAAAAAGTATATCTTTAAAAAAATTAGTTTCTAAGACTGTTTTTCCTTTTGAAGACATTTAAATATTTTAGCAGAATAGTGTGTAAAACACAATTACATAGTGTTTTTTATGCATGCCTTGCCAGCTCAGAAAGTAGTAAAAATAATAGCTCACGGTTATATATGTCTTTAAGTTTCACTTTCCTCATAACAGCCCTATAAAGCCGATAGTTCAAGTATCATTGAATCTCTGTAGTTGGAATTCAAACTTGTGTCTTTCATTGTTAATGACTTTATCCACTTTGGATATGATTACACCATATTAAAACAGAGATCAAATTTTATGCTATGGACCCTAGCATATTGATTTCTTTGTTTTTTTTCCCCCTGGACCAGGCCTATCATTTTGTGGGGAACTCTTGGTGTAATAAACCATTAGGTATAGATACTCCTTCCACAGAAGCAGATGAGCAACTTGTGGATAAATTGTTATTGTCTTAGAGTTAGCTGGGTACAATGACAGGTTAGGTTAGAGCATCTAGGTGGTGCAATGGATAGAGTGCTGGGCCAGGAGTCAGGAAGACTCATTTTACTGAGTTCAAATGTGGCTTCAGATACATACTAGCTACGTGACCCTGGACAAGTCACTTAACCCTGTTTGCTCAGTTTCCTCACCTGCAAAATGAACTAGAGATGAAAATGGGAAACCTCTCCAGTGTTTTTGCCAAGAAAACCTATATATCACAAAGGGTTAAACACAACTGAAAATGACTGAACAATAACTGAGAGGTTAGTGACTATGATCTCACAGAAAGAATGTCAGACACAGGACTTGAACCCAGGTCATTCTTGACTCCTAGCATTACCCATCATTCACTGTAGCATATTGATCTCTTTAATTTCATCTCTAGTCCTAATTATTTTTGCTACAGAAAATGCTCTTTTTCTGTGTGTATGTGTCTGTCTGTCTGTCTCTGCCTTTCTTTACCTTGAAACATGTTCAACTAATGTATTATTCAAAAACTATTTCATTTTAGTCCACAATCGACAATAGTTTTACAGTTCAGCTTAATACACAGCAGAACATAGACACAATGCACTGCTATAGTTTCAACTTTGAACAACTATGTAAGCATTAGTTACTTCATGGTAACTTAATTAGGCAAATCAAGAAATCCAGGCAATCAGAGCAGTGGCGAATCATCTCCCTTCAGGAAGTTTTGTGGTCAGTGGGCAAAAATGGCAACCAGCTTCTCAAAGGCCAAAGATATATTATGTACTACAGGTCACCCACAAACTTTTATAATAGGAGACCAGCTGTGTAAACTGCAAGATGTTGTCCGAAGGAAGTGCCAAGTAAAACGTTGGTGCTGTTTGCTGACTGTGCTGAAGTGCTGAGAATCTAAATTCTTGCCAGTAATTTAGAAACTAGTTCAGAGAAGTGCAGCCTTCAGGAGGTACCCACTCTCCAGGGACTGGAATCTAGTAATGCTAGTCATCATGCCATGCTTCCTGGGTTATTGCAATTCTTCCATAAGCCCACAGCAGTATCCTTCAGGCTAACTCTCAGGCTGCCCTGGCTACTCCACCAGAGGTACTGTTTCTATTTTGTTTTCGAATTCCCAGATTTCAGTGAGAAAGAGCACAGTGTCTGGCATATAATAGGATCTTAATAAATATTCATTGATTTATTAATTGCCCCTCTGTTGAGGGAAACCACCAAACTGGTAGGGCCTTGGAAGAGGTCAGCCCTGCTTTCCACAAGCTATTGAGCTTGTTGTACCTCAAAATTAATTGTGGTCCCAAGACTTCTGGAATATTTTCTACTATAGTCTTAGAAAATCTGCAAAACTGAATCCACAAAATACAGAGACAGGGAAACAGAGATGGAGAGAGAGAGAGAGAGAGAGAGAGAGAGACAGACACAGAGAGACAGAGGGAGAAAAAGAGAGAGACAGAAGAGAGAGAGACTGGGAACTCTCAGAATATAGATTAAAGCAGAGGTGTACTAAGGTCAGCTTTAAATGGCTCCGAGAGTTGATTGTCAAATTTTCAATGTCAGCATTTATACTTCCAAAATTGGCAAATTCTGTAAATCAGGGCATGCTTGATTTATTGTTGTGATGATTGTGTAGACTTAAGACAATGATGGATGAAGTTCTAATATTGCAGATTAAATTTTAAAATGTGTCACAGTTAATTTTCAGAGAGCCAGTTGTTAAATATTTACCAACACATCACTTGACTAAACAGACTTCTTAGGTTACTAATGAATAAGCTGGTCCTTAAAGCTTGCCTATGGTAGATGAGTGTGGGGGATGTAGTTGGGTATTACAGCATAAGGAAAGTATACTATTTGTCATTTAGGTTTGGGGGCAGAGGTTGGGGCTTAATGAGAAGGGATAGATTCAACAGTAGAAAAGAAAGGGACCAATAAACTGACCAAGGGGCTGACAGTACCTGAAAATTCAACTGCTGCTGCATCATTTCTAGAAAGAAAGTAACAATTAGGTTTATGTTTACGGGTGGAAGAAAGATAGCCAATGACCCATTTTTCAAGCAGAGAAAGCTGTTTGTGAGGACTGGAGAGAAAAAAAATGGTCCAAGATTTTTTCAGTAGTAGAAGAAAATGTTTCATCAGTTGGCCCAGTTGGCCCTAGGAATTGGGTTGTTAGATGGGAGAGCAAAGATGATATTACCTGAGGTGACTAGATCTTAATTCAATTATGACTCATTCTGCTTTTATTACAGAAGGACTGTGCCCCTTCCTCTACCAAAGGAATGTTTTCAGGGACTATATACTCTATTGGGCCCACTTTGATTAATCCTGCATCCTTCTCAGTATTTCATGTCAGAGGTGAGTCAGGTTATCTTTTAGGTGTATTAGTCTTTCTGGCTGAGCATTCATTTAAAAACTGGGAAATCCTCTGTGGATATTATCCCTGTAAACCAATACTAACTTCCTACTGAAAGGAAGGTTGCTGGCCATACTGTACTGGAAGGAAATTATACAGAAAGAAAAGAAAGCAAACAATTATTAGATATTATGCAATAAGCAAGTTATAGTAATCTGAAGTCCCACAATGAGCATTCCCAAGTAAAGGCCGAAGGCTCTGATAATATCAGCTTCTACACTGCATGCTATCTCCCATCGGAATGAGCCACTTTCACCAAGTTTGCTGCCCTGCCTTCTATTGCAGAAGCTATAGTCATGTGTCAACTTGCCACTGACATAGACCATACTGACTGAGGCCATCTGGAAAATTTCCAAATGCTCGTTAGGGTAATGGAACCATGCTTATGTAATGAAGTGGCATGCAGCACATCTCTTCTGAGACACAGTAGCTACTTGGGAGTCAATGCCATGAATGACAGCAACAGTAGCCTTGGGAACCTATGCTAATGATTCTTAAACATTTTCTATGGGACTAATTCTGCTCCTCCCATTCCAATTTCCAGCAATGCTTATTCAAAGGACTCATTTTGAATTATAAAGTTGGTTTAGCATTGAAACCAAAAGATAGTTAGACCTGTTGGATTTGGAGTCAGAAAAACCTGAGTTCAAAACTATCTGTGTCCTAGGCAAGTTATTTAACCTCTCTAAGCCTCTATTTACTCAACTGTAAAATGAGAGCAATACCTGCCTCACTTAATTGTTGTAAGGCTCAAATGAGATAATGTTTATAAACTTTAAAACACTATATTGTTGTTGTTGTTAATTTAAAGCAATTTAAAGAAAGTTAGGGACTTGGAATGACATCTTTTATGTAAGCATAAGTTGCCTGAAGAATTATGATTAAAATCAATGAAATAATGCAAGTGTAGGGATTTTTTTAAATAAAAAAAACTGCACAAAACACTGCATAAATGTAAGCTATTATTGAAGCTGTGTAGGATAGCTACATAAGAGTCTTGAGTTTAAGTCCTGGTTCTGATGCTCACTAGCTGTTGACTTTGGATAAGTCCTTTATTTTGAACATATCTCTTTATAAACAAGTAGTCTTCCTAAGTGAATGTAAGTTCCCTGGGGGCAGCAACTGATTCATTTTTGTCTGGGAGTCTCTGGAGTTTATGAGGAGGAGGAAGAGTGACATGGTTGAGGAAGAGTGACATGGTTGAAACTTCTTGCAGAGGAAATCACTTTGGTGGCTGATTGGAGGATGGACTAGAGTGGGGAGACTTATGCCAGAGACTTCTCACCAGTAGATTATTGGAGTAGGCCAGGTATGAGGAAAGATAATGAATTCAGTTTTGGATACGTGTTTAAGATTTCTACTAGATATCTAGTTAGAGATATCTACTAGGCAGTTGGAGATATGAGACTGGAGGTCAGCAGAGAAGTTAGGGTTATATAGGAAGACTTAGGAACCATCAGCATACATATGATGATAACTGAATTTATGGGAGCTGATGAGATCACCAAGCAAAGGAAGATATGACAAGAAGAGAAGAGTGCATGAGAAAGAACTACCCACAGTTATGACCTGGATGAAGATATAGTAAAGGAGACTGAGAAGGACCCATAGGTAGGTAGGAGGAGAACTGGGAAAGAGTGGTGTCCTAAAAATCCAGAGAGAAGGGAATATTAAGAAGAAGAGGTTGACCAACAGTGTCAACGTTTGTAGAGAGGACAAGGGTGAGGATTTAGGAAAAGCTATTGAATTTGGTGGGTTAGAGAGCACTGGTAACTCTGGAGAGAGAGCAGTTTCAGTTGAAAGATGAAGTCAGAAGCCAGAGAATTAAGAAGCTAGTGAAAAGAAAGGACATCAGAGGTGCTATTGTTAACCGCTTTCTCAGAGTTTAACCACAAAAGACAGGAGAGATATGGGATGATAGTTAATGGGAATGGAAGGATTAAGTGAGGGGTTTTTTTTTGAGAATGAGGGAAACATGGTCATATTTGTAGGGGTAGTAGGAAAGGAGCAGGGAGAGACTGAAAGTTAATGAGGGAGTGAGGTGGTAGAAGGGGTGATTTGCTGGAGGAGACAAGGTGAAATGAGATCACTTGTGCATGTTAGAAGGCTTGGCCTAGTCAAGGAGTAAAGCCACCTCTTTATATGAGACAAAGGTGAAGGGGATTGTGGTAGAAGACCTGCATCTTAGTGATAAGAAATGAGGAGGAGTGGAGAAGAGGGAGTATTCCACAAATGGCCTCAATTTTTTCAGTAAAATATGAGGCAAAATTCTCAACTGAGAGGATGGAGGAAGGAATATGGAGGGGGAGCTATGCAAGGTTTGAGGAAGGATGATAAGGTTTGGAAGAGCTGTTGTGGAGAGTGGGAAAGTGAGTTGATCAGGTTGATATAGAAGGATTGCCTAGGTCCAAGCAGCTCTGAGGGCCCTGTTGAGTTATGTGATATAAATTTGTAGTGGACTCAGAACAGCTGTGTGTTTTTCTCTACCTTCATTCATGTTTTAGGTATTCAGGGGCGAAGGTAGCAGATGGGTGGGAGTGAAACAAGATTGAGACTCAGTATAAGTGGTGGCACGGTAGGGAGCACGGGATTCAAGAGAAGAGAACAACATAGAGTTGAACTGGTTCACCAACGGATCAAGATGGGGAAAAGAGGAGTGTGTGGCAAGTGCAGGGATGGCCTGGAAGAGAATTGAAGGGTAAATGGAATGGAGGACATGGAATGGATGAGAAGCAGAGTTTGTTTTGGGAAGGCAGAGGGAGAGGTGGAAAGACTGGTGATCAGATAAGATACTTAATACAAATAAGCACAAAATATATACAACTGATTTTATCTGGGTTGGGGGAGGAAAGCACAAAATACTGAGAGAATCAGGAAAGGTCTCCTGTAGGAGGTGACATGAACTGATTCACGAAGAGTTCAGGCTTTCAGGAGGCAGAGGTAAGGAATGAAACCATTCCAGGACTGGGTGGAGCCTAGAGATGGAATGTCACGTACAGGGAAAGTTTTTGGCCAGAAAGCAAAGTATGTGAGGAGAAGTCTAAAATCAGTTTGGAGTCAGCCTGGAGGTCTTTAAATGCCAGATACTGAACTTGAATTTGAATTCTGGCTCTTTTACTTACTACCTGTGTGACTTTGGGGAAATCTCATACCCTATCTGGGCCTCAGTGTCCTCATCTGTTCAATGAGGGAAATAGACTACCTGATTTCTAAGGTGTCTTCTAACTTTAGATCTATGTTTTTATGAGTTTGGACTTTCTCCTGGAGTCAACAGAGAGCCAGTGGAATGACATGAGCAAGGCTGTGCTTTGCAGCTGTCACAATAGAGAAGTTCAATAGTAAATAATATCAATAGTAAGTTCTTTGAACTATTTCATTTATGGCTCTGCATTCCTAGTGTCTAGCATACAGTCAGCACTTAGTCAATTGTTGATTAATCAGGAATACAGGTGTGTATGCATGTGTGTGTATTTGTGTGTGTGTGTGTGTGTGTGTGTGTGTGTGTGTGTGTGTGTCTTTTATTTCAGCTTTACTTCTCTTCTTGCTGGATTTGTAACCTTCCTGGTTATAATTGCAGTCAGATTTAACTTCTCACATTATTTAAAGAAAAAGAAAACCAGGTGGAGAATGGGATTTGAAATTCTTTTCCTGTGGTTTTTCTTTGTTTTCAAAGCTCTTCTGTCAGTTTTATCTTTAATCCTATTTTAGAATAAGTGCATTCCTAGCAGTCTCACTAAGAATTGCCTTATAAAGTTGAGGTTAAAACTTTTTTTAAACACAAAAATACTCATTTTTGGTGAGTCACCATTCCATCAAAAACCATAATTTTAGTCCAGTGTAAAATGTTTGATGATGAAAAATTAACGTGAATATGTGTTATTATTTCATTCCTAGGGCTGCTCTATTTATAAAAATAATAATAGCTTACATTTATGTAGTGATTTAAGAACTGGAGAGGGTTTTCCTCACTATAAAATGGTAAAGTTATTACAAGTATTATTTATCACTGTTTTATAGGGAAGGTACCTGGACTTGGAGAGGTCAAATAACGTGCCTAAGGTCACAAAACCAATAACTTAATTGGGATTCAAGTGCAAGTAAATGATTACTGAATTGAATTGATCTTGCAAGTTACCTGGTCTGTTCTCCCCATTTTATAAATGAGGAAACTGAAGTCTAGAGGAAACTGAAGTGGGGTCTGGAGGGGTTCACACAATGTTAAACCCAAATTTTATTCCATATTGATGGGTAAGGAATGTAAGGAACAGTTAAAAGTGGTTAATTGTTAACAAATCACATTCCATCTAAAATACTTATCTATTTTCCCATTGTATGGTAGGCCATTTGTAGTCTTATGCCTTTCTTTCATCGATCTACCTGTTTGTGACTAGTCTCTATTTTTCACAGGAGAATGTCTTTGTAGGTTTGGGGAGAATTCTTCCTAGGATGGTTACATTGCTTGGATAAATTCTGCCCCTCCTAAGTAGGCATGATTCTATCTGAGGTATTCTTAGGGCTTATGGCCTCCACTGTGCTTTGATTGATCATCTTGACCTTAACCCCTTCCACCTGACACTAATCTTCATCTTTGTCACGTACTCCCAAATACCACCACCTTCAGAATTCTGATCTTGTTACCTGCATTCTGGCCATCATTTCTACCCACACTGCCTGCATTCCCTGCCATAATCCTCTTCTCTTCCCCTACCAGAACCTTGGACTCTGCCCCAGCATTCCCAGAGTTCTTTTCTGTATCTCCCTCCTTTTTCCTACTAAGTAAAGCTGGCTGTGTGTCCCCTTCCCACTTCTTCCCATGGTTCTGGAGGTAGGTGCAACCACGTCTTCTAAACTTATCTCATTTCCCTATGGGATATTCTAGGGTCTCACCATCTTCCTCCATCCCTCTTCTTTTACCTTATAGTTTCTGTAGTTTACAAACACTGGTACAGTTATAAATACAATATACAATCATAGAATTTAAAATTGAAATAGACATTAGGGATTGTTTAGTCCAACTTCATTTATAAATGAATTAATTGAGACTCAGAGAATGGGTGACTTTTCCAAGGTCACACAGAATCTGGATTCAAATCCAGAAGCTCTGACACCATAATCAGTTTTACTTTTACTGTAACACATGCTGCTTATGTCTGATAGTCAAACTAAGTCACAAATACTCTCTCCCCGCCCCTGAAGAAAGAGGGAATACTTAATCACAGCCTTTTTGTGATATTTTAGCATTTGTAATTGTATTGTAGAATTATAGGACTGGAAGCAATTTGCTTTCATCCAATCTTGTTTCAAGAAGACCTGAACCCAAACCGACTAAGAAATGCATTTGTCTATACTATTCTTTTTATTTGCAGAATTATTATTTTTTTTTGCAGGGAAATAAATTCTTTCCCCATTGCAACTGCCTCATCTCAACTTCCTATGGAGCACTTACCTAGTAATCCTGCTGTCTGTCACGTGTAGCCTAGCAGACCTTTGCAAGAGTGAGTAAGCACAGCTTCAGAGGTCATAGACTTGATAGCCATCAAGGACACTTTTGTTAATGATCTAGAATTGCCATTTCATGTTGATTGGTCCCTAAATGGTTCTGATGAAGCAACTCAAGGAACAATGTGAGCTGGCTTTATTAGTCTCAACCTTGCCGTCAGAACAAAAGGTCAGATGTCACCACTGCCCTCAACCTGGGTACCTGCAAGTAGGACTATAATAAGTGTTTGGATGAATTAATAAACAAGGCCTTGAACTCAATACTAATGTCAGCTAAGCAAAGATGTGCTTTCTTTCTATTTTCCAAATTGTATTTTGTACCTGCATTTCCAGATATGCTTATATACCTTAGCATTTATCAATTTTTACATGATCTTGACCTTCATTTATTACAAGTTACCTGCTTTGTAGTTTTTAAGTTATATAAGGTTCACCCCTTCGTCTTTCAAACATTTCAGTAGTATGAAATAAAAAGGGTGTTGATCTTACATAAACCATTGCTATTTTCCCTTGTAATTTTTGTGCATGTTCTGTTTTTTAGATTTTTGTAGTTAAAATGTACACAAGACATATTGAGACATTTTCCTAGGCTCAAACTTGGTTTGGATTATTTCTTTCATTTTAGATTTAGTTGTAGTGTTTGATTTCTAAAAATTGCTTTCCCATTTGGACATTTGCCTAGGAAGTCGATTACCAGAAGAAAGAAATCCAAATTTTTAGTCTGATTTTGTAAACTTTGTATATATCATGTGGAAAGTCCACATGAACTTTTGCCTGAAAGCATTTCTGTTCGATTTTTTAAACAAAAGTAAATACATAGCTTAAAAAAAATTTTTTTATTGTACAGCTGAGTATAGGAAACTTTTTTGGGCAGTATTTTGGAATAGAATACTGAATATTAGCTTGCAATTGAAGCACAAATTGTTTATTTTTTATGAACTAGACATAGATGATTTTTCTAATTCTTTATTATTTATTTATTATGCTAAGCCTGTTCTCTCACACAATTTAGGCTTTCTCAGTTTAGGCTTAGAAGGAAAAAAAGAGGTGTAAACGGCATATTTATTTTATTGCAAGAGGCACCTGTATTTTTAAACTCTTAAAGGTAAATGAATTGTTCTGAGGCCATCTTAAATCTCTCTTATTTTATCAGGGAAATCAGTAGGGTTTAGCTGAAATGGCCTAGGACAATGTGTGTACAAGTGACTTGCTTGATGATGGGAATAGAAAATAGCATTTTCTTTCTCCTAGCCTACAGCTATTATGCTATTGTATAAAGACAAACAAAGGGGTCTTATTCATTCCACTTTGTCTCCAGGTAAGCTCATTTTATATCCTGGAAAAATTCCTAAATACTGGTTTCACACATTCCTACACGAAAACATTTAAATGATGAAATCTTTTTCTGCTGAACAAAATTACCATGGTCCTATAGTAGGCTTTTTGTTTTGTTTTATTTGAAATAGAAAAGTGAATGAAGAAACCATAAACAATTTTTGTTTCAATATGGAAACATCACTTAATAAAAGAGCATTACAGATGTTTTTGAGGATAAAAAAAAGGGAAAATGAGGAAATAAAAAGGTAATCTAATTATGGTCCTGAATATAAGGAATGTGAAGAATGAGAGAGGATTTACAAAAGTAATTATTCTCACCTCTTTCTTCTTTGTTGCATATATATATATACATATATATATATATATTCCTATCATTTCATTTTGGAGCAGAAGGAAAAGGTAGAAAATTATATATTTTTTTCATAAGTTATTTCTGCTTATACATGTGTCAAGGGCGGCTAAATGGTACAGTGTCTAGAGCTCCAGGCCAGGAGTCAGGAAGACCCAAGTTGAAATCCAACCTCAAACACTGACTAGCTGTGTGACCCTGGGCAAGTCACTCAACCCTGTTTGCCTCAGTTTCCTCATCTGTAAAATGAGCTGGAGAAGAAAATAGCAAATTACTCTAGTATCTTTGCCAAGAAAACCCCAAAAGAGGTCAGGAAAAATCAGACACAACTCAATAACAACAATGTGATACTCACCACATCAAACCTGGCAAATATTTATCTAATTTTTTTCTATAGTTCCAGAGAACCCTCAAAATTTTTCTTTATATCAATACTAAATATGACTTTTTGTTGTTTTTATCTAATTTTCCTAGTTCTGCTTTATGGTGCCAAGTAGAACAAGTCTAATAGCAATAATGAGGACAGTAATAATAATAATAATAATAATAACAATAACTAGCATTTATTTAGTTAGTCACTGTGATAATTGCTTTACAAATATTATTTCATTTGATCCTCACAACCACCCTGGGAGTGAGATGCTATTCTTATCCCCATTATACAGTCGAAGAAACTGAAGAAAACAGAGGTTAAGTGACTTGTCAAAAATCACATAGCTAGTAAGTGTCTGAGGTTAGATTTGAGCTCTGCTCTTCCTGACTCCAGGCCCAGCACTCTGTCTACCATACTCCCTAGCTGTCTCTAATTACCATTGGACTTGACAGGCATTCAAATACATGAAAACAGTTATTATGTCCTTCTAAGTGTTCTCTTCTTCAGACTAAACACCCTAGTCCCTTCAACTAATCCTCACGTGGCATAATCTCCCTGATCACCTTCCTCTTGTCCTTCCTAAAATGTAGCACTAGTGCTGAACACAGCAGTCTTGATGTGGTCTGAGCAGGGCATAGGGCAACAGGATTAGTTCTGAGCTGTGAGCCTTTCGAGAGAGGCTGTGTCGTTGTTGTATTGAGCTGAGATGTTTGCTGACAAAATTCAATTCAATACACATTTATTAAGCTCTCATTATGTGCCAGGTGGTTAGCTGGGTGGCGCAGTGGATAGAGCACCACGCCCAGAGTCAGGAAGACTCATCTTCCTGAGTTCAAATCTGGCCTTAGGCACTTACTAGTTGTGTGACCTTGGGGAAGTCACTTAACCCTATTTGCTTCAGATTCCTTATCTGTAAAAACTAGAGAAGGAAATGGCAAACTACTCCAGTATCTCTGCCGAGAAAGCCCCAAATAGGGTTATGCATGACTGAAATGGCTCAGTATCAACAGCAGCAGCAGACTTTAAGCAGTAGCTTAGATGACAGCTTGATAAGTAAGCAAGCAGAGGCTACTCCTGTTTAGCTACTATTTGTATTAAAAGTACCCTGGGGGCAGCTAGGTGGCACAGTGGATAGAGCACCGGCCCTGGATTCAGGAGGACCTGAGTTCAAATCTGGCTTCAGATACATAACATTTACTAGCTATGGAACCCTGGGCAAGTCACTTAACCCCATTGCCCAGCCAAAAAAAAAAAGTACCCTGATATTTCTCCCATCTCAGAGATTCTGAAATTTGATAGTATATTCTGCTTGAGGAGAGTAAGACCTTCATATCCCAAGAGTCCCATACAATTGTACAACTGAACTTAAAAAAAAAGAAGAAGAAGAAGACTTCTTTGGCTGGGAAATAAGTTAGTATAATTTTCTTTGTCTTTACAATGGAAATAATACTTGCTACTAGTTACCTTATGAGGTTATTCTGAGGAAAGCTCTTTACAAAACTTAAAAGCAGATATAAACGTGAGCAATTTAATGAACAATTTGTAAGGTTCCCAACTCTGCACCAAGGACACAAAGATCTATTTGATAGAAGAACTGCAGGAGGTAAGTACCAGTTTAAGGTTCAATGGTAAAGACCAGAGGTTCCTAAAGAACTAATATAAGTTCAGATAAAACTTTTGGATAGCATTTTCCATTGAAGCATTTGACAGATAAATCACTGCATCATACCTTTCCTTTAGAGGCATTGTGAAGGAGGACACATATGCAGCTAGGTGGCACAGTGGATAGAGCACTGGTCTTAGAACCAGGAAGACACATCTTCCTGAGTTTAAATCTGGCCTCAGACATTTACTAACTGTGTGATCCTGGGCAAGTCACTTGACACTGCTTGCCTCAGTTTTTCATCTGTATGAGCTGGGGAAGGAAATGGCAAATCACTCCAGTATCTTTGCCAAGAAAATCCCAAATGGGGTCACAAAGAGTCGGAAACAACTGAACAAATCAAAGTCACTGCATCATTCTCTGCACCTTCATTCTGTCCCCATCCTGTGCTCCTGCCACTGGCTTCTTGATATATTAGAAACACTCCCCATCCTTTGAGATCCAGGTCCAGACCTCCCAAATATATGAAGCTTTCAACTATCTTTCTTTCCTCTGCATTCATATAGTACTTAATTCATGCATTGACCATTGTCACTTGAAAGGTAATGTGGTGTAGTAGGAAAAAATTAATGGGTTTAGAGTCTGAGGACTTGGTCCCAAATACCATCTTGGCTAATTATTAGCTATGAGGCTTTAGACAAGTCATTTCATCTCTTGGGGCTTGAGTTTCCTCATCTGTAAAATAAAGGCCTTGGTTCTAATGACTAGCCCAACAAAAGAGTTGGTTTAAGTCAGGGGTTCTTAGTCTAGGGTGTGTGAACTTTTTTTTTTCCATGATTTTTTGATAACTGTATTTCCATACAATTTATTTCCTTTGCATTTTGTTTTTTATTTAATTAAGTATAATTTTAATAATCAATTAACTCACATTTCATCTATTATATATTGATTTATTTTTAATTAATTCCATTTCATTTATTTCCTATGTATTTTATTTTATGCATTTAATAAGATTATTCTAAAAAGGGGCCCATATATTTCATCAAAGGAGTTCATGATACACAAAAGGTTGAAAATCCTTTGTTTAGATGATCTCCAAGGTCTCTTCCGACTCTAGGTCTAATGACCAAGGATGGGAGCAGCATGGGACAGTGAAAAAAAATTAACTATAAAGGAAGGAAGGAAGCCACTATCTGCATCCAGAGAAAGAACTGATAAAAAGAAGTATGGATAGAATGGTTTTATATATATATGTACATGTGTATGTATGTATACATATATGTGTGCATATGTGTATATATGTATACATACA